TCAAATTCATAAGAGGGCCTTAAGACTCTGACATGTCCCTCATTCCATGCTCCGCTGCTAAAGAGTTTCTGAAGTAAGACTCATCAGGTATTCAAGTGAAATGAGCGTCCCCTGTGTGACTGCAGAGGAGAGACTAGGTGTAGACCATGTACTAGAAGGTGAAGAGTGGTGAAATCATTTGTGATAAATTCTTGTGAGTTGATGATGCATCTACTCAGATTGTGCTGTAGTCACACGACACACGCCTGGTGTTGCAGACTTAATTGTATCAACAGCTGGATGTGTCATGGTCATCTCTCTGGTCACATCTGGTGTCAATGTAAAGTGACTACTGTATGAGAGGCTATGATTTTTCTCCATATTTGGAATGTCCAAGAACCCTGCTGTCGGAAACTTGACCTATTGCGTGACAATATGGGTCTGGAACTGGTGGAAATGGGCACAAGGACCTGACCTGACATTACTATATGCTCCATGACACCATGTATCTGGAACTGGTGGAAAAGGGCACTAGGAAAGCTGCATATGGCCTATCATTCCTTTGTACTTCGTGGACTGAGGGAGGAGACTATGTGTGACATGCATTTTTCCTTCCTGTGGTTGTGTGGGCTTGACCATTTGGTTGGTCATCATGCATTAGAACTGGAATTTCACAGTTTGGCCATCACCCTGGGCCAGAAGATGGGGATTGGGGTCTAGTCACCATCTGCTGCTCCAGGCCTGGTCACATCCCGCTCTAGAGACTAGTGACCTGATCACGATTCTGACTCGCGCGGCATCCATTGCACGTACTGCGTCGGGCCAGAATCTCTATCACCTCAACCTCACGTCTACCTATGCGCGCAGTCGCACACCTCAGTCACGCCATGCTATCAAATTTTCGGTGCACACTCTCTCCGCTAGCACTCTCACGTCGCATGTCGCCTGGCCGTGAGCTGGCACCACACAAACCTGCACCTCGTCCCTACTATACACGATACGTGCGACACCCACAACACGGTGGCCCACCATTCCGAAGCCTCCTGAATCACCTCCGTACAGGTCCGAGATCCGGGTGTGCGCATGCCAGCACTCAAGCGACTTCGCACCTTGTCACTGATAACCCTACTACCCTTTGCACCACCATCGCTTCCTGATTCTACCCCCGCCCACCGAGTTACCCCCCAACACCAACCACATCAGCCACTTGGAGTGGACTTCAACAACCTGCGAATGCATGCCAATGCCATATAGCAATGAGGGGTAGGCAGCCTTGATGAAACCCTATCATGCTTTACTACCCCATGTTAGACGACTATATCAGAAACGGACCTGTATACTGTTTAAGGTACTTGGAAATTTGAACATAAACTCTTAAAATGTCATTGAAATTTTTGCTCATCTCCACAGGAACAATGTAAGTAGGTAAGGAAGATTGAGAGATGGAGACTGCTGGTCCCACTGACTTGGACTGAACTGCGTAACATGAAACCCCTAGTGAAGATGTGGTTAACTTACCAATGGAAAGCGAGACTTTCTTTTTGACTTTGCAGTCTCATTTCCATTGTAAATCCTGCTGGTACTCAAAGGGGTAATTGTTACCGGTGTTACTGGGTAAGTTCATTGCTTACCGGTGTTAGCTGCAGGTAGTCACAGGATCATTGTTAAAATCAGTCTACTAGCGTATAATGAAAACAGGTTTGTATTCCATTAACGGCCTCTATAGTACCTTTAGATTATCAATATACTGTTACTATATCAAAATAATTACTAGGATCAATATCATAACATCACAAATATATATGAGGTATGTAAATCATCATCTACCGATCTCACACGACATACTGCATTCTCTAGCGGCAAATTCCTATCATCATCTATCTCCTGTCTATATGTAAACCAATAATGTAACTCGTAACTTAGTATAAACGTTATCATATATATTAAACATATATACCATACACTTATTATATAATATCATACTATATAGTATTATATATATATATAGTATTGTAGGTTAGTATATAAAATATAGGTAGTAGCTACTAGCTAGTATATATAGTATAGTATGATAGAACAGGTGGTATGTAATACAGAATATATGTAATACTATACGTACGCTGCATATAGTATATGTAAGTCGCAAGATATATCGATCATATAGTATGATTACTAAATCTAACATAAACGTAGGTACATAATACTGATATAGGGTATTATATACGTAGTACATATATAACATGAATACTATATAGTATATATATAGGTGTATGAAATTATATATTAATATCTAATGCGCGTGCGTTTGTGCCTAGTGGGCGAGTAGCTGTGGTGCAGTGTGGTGATTGTTGGGTTGTGGGTGAAGAAGCTGATGTGTGTGTGTGGGTAGTGCATGTTGTGTGATGTGGATGTGTGTTGTGCTCGCTAGTGATGTACCGTGTGGTTTTTGTTGTTTCGGTTTGGTTGTTGTCTATGGTTGTGTGTGATGTGATGTGTGATGATTTAAATGTAGTAGTATAGG